ATCTGTGAAATTTCCTTGCTACTACATATTCCGCGGTCAACTGTCAGTGGTATTATAACAAAGTGGAAGCAACTGGGAACAACAGCAACTCAGCCACGAAGTGGTAGGCCACGTAAAATGACAGAGCGGGTTCAGCGCACAGTACGCAGAAGTCGCCAACTGTCTGCAGAGTCAATAGCTACAGACCTCCAAACTTTATCTGACCTTCAGATTGGCACAACAGTGCGTAGATAGCTTCATGGAATGGGTTTCCATGACCGAGCAGCTACATCCAAGCCTTACATCACCAAGTGCAATGCAAAGCGTCGGATGCAGTGGTGTAAAGCACGCCACCACTGGACTCTAGAGAAGTGGAGACGTGGTCTCTGGAGTGACGAATCACGCTCCTCTGTCTGGCAATCCGATGGACGTGCCTGGGTTTGGCAGTTGCCAGGAGAACGGTACTTGCCTGACTGAATTGTGCCAAGTGTAAAGTTTGGTGGAGGGGGGACTATGGTGTGGGGTAGTTTTTCAGGGGTTGGGCTTGGCACCTTAGTTCCAGTGAAGGGAACGCTTAAGGCATCAGCATACCAAGACATTTTGGACAATTTTATGCTCCCAACTTTGTGGGAGCAGTTTGGGGATGGCCCCTTCCTGTTTCAATATGACTGCCCACCAGTGCACAAAGCAAAGTCCATAAAGACATGAATGAGTGAGTTTGGGTGGGGGAACTTGACTGGTCTGCACAGAATCCTGACCTCAACCCGATAGAACACCTTTGGGATGAATTAGAGCAGAGAGTGCGAGCCAGGCATTCTCGTCCAACATCAGTACCCGACCTCAGAAATGCGTTTCTGGAAGAATGGTGAAACATTCCCATAGACACAGTCCTAAACCTTGTGGACAGCCTTCCCAGAAGAGTTGAAGCTGTTATATTGGCAAAGGGTGGGCCAACTCAATATTGAACCCCTACAGACTAAGACTGGGATGCCATTAGAGTTCATGTGCGTGTAAAGGCAGGCGTCCCAATACTTTTGGTAATATAGTGTATAACTAGATCTGTGGTGGTCAACATTCTTGATATAGGGGGTCTCAAGTGCAGCCCCTGACATCACCAAAGGGTCGCACATAATATTCAACGAATAAAATACTACATGAAGCAGTCAGACTGCAAACAAGCAACAGTAGATGGTCCAAATCTGCAGACATGGTAAGGTAGATGGTCAATCACTGCAACAATGGTACAGAAGATGGTCAGAGACTCTGAAAATACGATAGGAGTTGTTGCTGGGGACATGCTTTGAGTGACAGTCACAGACTGGAGACACGTTACATGATTAGAGCGGTTAGGTTGAGGTGGGATAGGCTTCCCTGAAGGAGTCTTTAGGGATCGCCTAAAGGCAGTCAAGGTGGGCGATAGACGGACAGATTGGTAGAGACCACTGCCATTACAGTCCCTTTACAAATCAATGCTTCCATGTTTGCACTCCCTACAGCACCCTAAAAATTGCTTAATTAAATAAACAGGAGGAAAAAAACATGAGAAAAAAGGGATGGCCAGCATAGAAAAGGTGAAAAAAAAAAAGCATGAAATAAACCAAGCCCTTTACCAACTAGAACCCACTCTTAAAGCACTAGTTTTCTTTCACTGGCCTGAGTAAGCACGTAGGTATGAAAACCACCAACCATGGTCTGCAAGAGACAATGAGTGCTAAAAGGCCAGATGAAGTGCCCAGATCAGAGACTGGGCACCACTGATCTAGATGGATATAAACTGAATGGGGTATTTAGATTAAGAGACTGTCTAGAGTTTGTACAAATTATATTATGAGGGTCAACCTAAAATGCCCATTGAATTTACATTTAAGTAGCTAGTTCCTTGCAGCACTTACCTGTATGTTAATCTAAAGACATTGGGTTACAACAGGTTGTGCTAGGTTAAACAATGCACCAGTGCCATCATCGGTACAAATACTATAAGCCTGGTCCACATTTTGGATCGCTCTCTCATAGCCTAATGCTGCCATTACACGTGAATATATATATATATATAAAGCAACCAACCACCATTCCTGCAGATTAAAACAGAGAACTATGGGGTTAGGGCTTTTCCCCATAGTTCTCCTAAGGGTAACAGGAGGACACAAACTAGCGTCCTCCCATCACCCTAAGCTCAGTATACCGCGAGCTTTAGCTCGCGGTATACTGAGATGCCGCAGCTGAAACGGATCCCGACAATTATGTCCGGATCCGCCAAGCTGCGTGAGTGACAGCTGGCTCTGCCTATCTAGAGGCAGAGCCAGCTGTACCCTCCCCCGTCCAATCCGCCAGTCAGCACTGGCGGATCGGAGCGGGGAGGGGGGAATCCAGCCCCTCCCCTGTCATGGCAGAGAGCTGTGACAGGATCGAGAAGTGAGCGAACGTCGGTATGTGTTCGCTCACCTCCCGATCTACTGAGCCAACCTGTGACAGTCTCATTGACAAGCACTCACCTCATAGTTCACCTTTAATGAACAATGCTGGTGTCATCTTTAGCTCTGCAGAAGAGCCATCCTCTACCCAGTCAGGTTATCCTTCTTCTACTACACAGTAGTCATATTATTAGGTGTTAAGACATTAAAATTTATCTTGGAGTTCAAAAGAATTCTGAAGGTGATTTTCTAGTTGAGAAATTAAATTGACCTTTTCCCACTAATTAGTCATTGTTATACTTACATATTTCTCATGAACTAAAGGCAGGGCTTGACAAATGCCAGGAGCCCGGCAACCCATGTTCTTTAAAAATGGCAGCTAACTCCTAACGTTTTAGGTGTTCTATGGCTGTGGCAATGGAGCTTGCTGATTTCTGGATTCCATATTAATTCGTCCACCACTGACTGAAGGGCCCATTCATATGGTAGCCCGTGCTCAACACAACTTAAATGTGTTGATGCAATGCGGTGCCATTAATCCTAAATGGGGGCCCAACTCACCTTGCCAACAGGCAGGCATTGCAACATTAGCGTGACCAGGACCCAAATGGGCACTCTGCCTTTGTCATCCATTGGCAGGCTAAACATGTCTCTTGAAAACATACAATTTGCAAGACATATCAATGCTCACAGACATGTGTAAATAGCCTCATAGCAGAAGCACATTTTTACAATGTACTAAAGGCTGCCAGAAATGTTTTTGCACAGTCCAGACATTTCCATGAAGTTATTTGCTTCTTTTTAAAGTGTATGTATAGACAAAACTGTTATTTTAGTTTTGAATAGAGTAGGGAAGCCATAAAACGCCATTAGTGTTTGTTTGTTTTTTGGGGGGGGAGATTAGAAGATTCTGCTTTACCTTTGACAACTGTAAAATGTTGGTTTTCCTATCACTTGCTGTTTCAGTGACAATGACCAACGGAACAAAGAGTGAATCTTTCCAGGGGGATACAGACAGCAATAAAACCCTGACGAAGGTCTGAACCCTTCCCAAATGGCCACCCAAAAAAATTATTAACTAAACACAGCGGAAAAACAAAAAGGCCTGCATAAATACTTTGTATACTGCATACAGGACTTGTAAACACTGCTTCCAAGGACCAAATGGAAATCTCCATAGCATTGTGAAATGTGACTACAATTCCAAGCAGTATTGCCACATGAGTAATTCTCAGCATGCCATATCTGAAGCCTAGAGGTCAGATTCCCCCATAAATTATTACACTCTACCATTAATAACCAAACTCCTGTTTTGTGTCCTCCCGTTACCCTAAGGAGAACTATGGGGAAAAGCCCTAACCCCATAGTTCTCCTTTAATAAATAAAAAAAAAAACCATACAGTGCCCCACATACACCCATCAAGGGCTCGTTACATCTAATGTGCCCTCCGTACACTGCTCTGTTGGCTGAGTACTGCTAAATCAGCTGAAATTCAAGCAGTGTGTGGTCCGATCACACACCCCCGCATTTGACAAAAGTGAATTATTCCAGGGAGCCGTTCTGGAAAAACTCAGCCGAACAGTGACTTCTGTCAATCAGCTGTTCAGGTATTCTGTCATCACACATATAAGGTATTACAGCTTCTTCTACCCCTAGACTAAAAACTACCATTGCAGCGAGGTCTTCCTACACTGTAAGGGTTAAATGCTAGTTAAGTCTACAGGTCCAGGAATAAGTGGATGCTGGCCATACGCCATTTACATATTACAGGTAATTATATAGCGCCGACAAGTTACACAGCACTTTACATAGTGTACATTCACATCAGGCCCAGCCCTCAAGAAGCTGACAAACTAAGGTCCCTATCTTACATGCATACCGATGAGGGCTGATTAAGACAGGAGCCAATTTAACTTCCAGCATGTCTTTGGAGTGTGGGAGGAAACCCACAAAAAAACACAGGGAAAACATAAAAACCTCCTTGCACATGGTGTCCTGACCAGGCATTTTAACTGGGAACCCCCAGTGCTGCCAGGCAGAAATACTAACCACTACACACTGTGCATGCCAATAGTCCTGCATTGTATGTGGGAATGTCAAGAGGCCACCCAGAGCACCGGAGAGGAGAGCGTCCAAAGCCAAGCACGGAATGAGCCAAGTATAACACCTTACTCCTCTACCCCTAGACTTAACAAGCATTTAACCCTTGCAGTGAAGCAACACCCCACTGCAAGGGTAGTTCGTTTTCTGTCGCCCAGAGTGGGGCTTCATGTGTACGAACAGGGGAAATTGTGTTGCCCATAGAAACCAATCAGAATCCATGTTTCGGTATCAAAATGCAGAAATTAAAGTTGCAAACTTATAGGTTGTTATAGGCGACTAGAACCATCTTTCAATGAGTACTCTCCACTACTGTTAGAAGAAATGACAGCTGTATACAGAAGCCGGGAAGGTCACCATGTCTCCATAGGTCCGGGGGTGCAGGCAACCTTTAGCATGGCACATACTGCACTGCCGAAAACTGTCCCGGGGAGCTCACCTCTTAAGTGCCTCTAACACCACTGTGCCCCTCAACAGCACCACCCCCATTGTCCCCAACCATGCCTCACCTGCAGCTCTGCCGCTCAGTTTCACAAAGCGGACCAGCGGCTCCCCTCCACCGGCTTCCGCCGCCATCATACACGGTGCACCAGCAAATCGTTCCACCCGGAAACAGGGAGCCAACACAAAGTGGCCGCTTATCAACTGTACACAGGGGGAAGCAGTGGCGTAACCAGTGAACAGGAGGAGATTTAGATCACTCCCGTTCATTCATAATTGAGGATACAGTATACATACCATGTCCTCAATTATGTACACACACTCAGTGATCACTGATCAGTTCAGTTGTTAGGCAATTTCAATGGGGATTTGCAGGCATGACATTGAGACATTTAATAAAGCTAGAAAAAAAATTTAACCAGTGCCTGGCATTGTAACAATGCAAGGCATTTCTGCTCGCTGTCGTTTCTCACCGGATGTCATTTCAGAACGGTTTAGGCCTGGTTCACACTGAGCGTATTGTCGCAGTGGATTCAGCCTGATCAAAAGCATCACCGAAAAAATCCCATTCATTCATATGGCCCCTGTGCACACCTAAGCGCTTTGTTGCAATAAGCAAAACGCCTGTCGTGTTTCTTTCTGGCAGATCGCAGCTAATTTTGGCCCCATTTACTCAATAGCAAACACTTAAAAACATGTGTTACAATAGGTTTTGCAATTTTTTACGCACATATGCGCCTGTCCTGTCCATTTACTTCAATGTATCACAAAAACGCACGTAATTAATATATGCAAATACATGTGCGTGAAAACGTGCAACAACGCACAAACATGCCACAAAAACATGCGTTTTTACACACGAAATGCTAAAGCTTATGTGTGAAACTGGCCTAACTTGCAGGCTGGTGTGAATGAGCCCTTAACACTGACTTGGTGCCGTTACCCACTGCTCATATTTTGACCAATTGTGCAGGGATCAGCCAAAATATGAGCTGCATATGTCTAGCAAAAAGAAAATTTGATAATGTTATCAGAGACTTGTAGAATTTCACTCAAAATTGCATTTGATCTTAACCAGTGGCGTAACTACTGCCATAGCGACCCACATGGTCGCTATGGGGCCCAGGGCAGAGGGGGCCCGGTCATGGGGACGAGGGGCTCAGAAGTATAGGTGGAGGAGGATGAGACCAGGCTGCCGCGGAGGGCGGAGGAGACTGGGGCCCTCGGCCGTGGAAGAGGAAGCTGGGGCCTGGCGGAGGAGGAAGAGGAGGCCGGGGATCGTCGTTGAGGAGGAAGATGCTGGGGCTCGGCGTCTGCTGACAGGTAGGAACGGCTGAGCTGCTTTACTGTTTTTTATTTAATGATGTGCGGTGTTAGGATCTAAAAGGCTCCGGCGTTCCCAAAAATATTCCCTGTGTTTGTGTCCCCACATAGCCAGTAGGGCTGCAGCTGGCAGAAAAGACAGAAAACATGCAGAGAGTAGACCCCTCATTGCCATTCCCAGCTGTTCTCCTCTCCGCCCTGCCTGCTACAGTTGGAGATGAGGGTCAGGATGGAGATGAGGGTCAGGATGGAGATGATGGTGAGGATGATCAGGATGGGGAGAATGGTCAGGAAGCTGAGGATGATCAGGATGATGATGTGAGGATAGTCAGGATGAAGATGATGGTCAGGATAGTAAGAATTCCAAACAGTCTTATATGCCCGACACTTGTGACAGCTGAAAAATCGACCTTCTCCCAAATAGATATACCACAAAAAATGATCCTTCCACAAGGTGCTGCACCTTTAAGTACTAGGTGACCTTGACTTGACAGGTCTGATTTGTTGTATTAAATGTCAGCTTCGCAGTCACAAATCCCCCCACCCCACGATGAAGGCCTTTTCCGACCTGACATGTACAGCAAGGCAAGCTAGTACCTAAAAGCACATAATGGGCCACCTTCAGCCAGTGGTACAGCCTCGAAAACCAGTAGCCCATGGGAATAAACACTTGTAAACATTTTGCTATCTCTGCCCATGTTTGATCACCACAGCAGTGACGACCTTATGATGAAGAACGCACTTGTGGCTTGCCAGACTGTGGGTTGCATCTCTAGTTAGGGCCACCTAAGCAATCCATTCTTTTTATAGCAAATCAGGTAGGCCAATACAGCTGCTGGAAAATGCAAAGCAGATTGTACAAGATATTTGAGCTATGCCCTTCTTTAATCCTTAAATATATTTATGGACTTGAAAAGAAGGTAACTAAAATGGACCCTGTAGTAAAATAGCAAGGTCTGCTTATTTAGTTAGGTCTGCCTCCTGCATCAAAAATTGTTCCCCCCCCAAAAAAAACACCTATAAGGGAAAACAAAATGTAATATACTTACCTCATCTCTGAACCTGCCCATGGTGGCTAGGCAAGGGTGCTGTCAGCATCCTTAGGGTGATATCCTAGGGAATCCTGACTAGCCCAAATCTCGCACTGTGTTGTAGCATTGTCTCACAAAATTTGGGCTACACAGCATTCCCTGGGATATCGCCTGAAGGGTGCTAACGTCAGCCCCTGTAGCGATAAAGCTAAGAGAGAGGTAAATATTTTAAAGCCCAATTGAACCTTCAGTTTAAATCAGTTAAATACATTTAAGATGCATCAAAACAAAATGGGGGGAATGTATCAAAACTGGAGCAGACAAAATCTGGAACAGATTTGCACTGCAACCAATCAGCTTCTCTGGCTCATTTTCAGTTCTTCTCTAAGCAAACTGAAGAGAGATGCTGATTGGTTGCCATGGGCAACTGCTCCAGATTCTGTTTGCTCCAGTTTTGATACATTCCCCCCAATGTTGTCAATTTCTTACAGTTCATTTTCTTCAGAAAGTAGAAAAGACTGTGACCCACCAGCAAATGCAGAGTGGGCCCCTAAAGCTCTGTGTGGAGGTAATAGCCTCTCTGCAGAGGTCCGACACAGCCCCTGCTGAGTCAGACCTATTGCTCTGAATTTAGCAAAGCTCATGCTCCCTGCTGATTAAAGACTTCTAGAGAGAAACCACTATTTCCCAACAAAGAGCAAGAGTCCCACTCTGCAGCAAACTGGCAAATTACAGGCTTTTCTACTGAGGTTGTCTATGTTTTAGAAAGAAAACAAACTGCAAAACTTGTTTAAACAATGTCTAGAGATTGGCGGAGACCTTGCAGGATCCCTTTCTTGTCTTATGTAAGGAATCCTGCAAGGTTCCAAAATGTCAGCTTGTGAGTGCTGTTGTTTTAGATGAATATTCAACAATATTATCATTCTACCCAGGTGTGCTGGTGAAATTCCTTCTTTTATTATGATTATATGGTAGTACCATCCACCAATTCACTACAGCACCTTGCATGAACTGCTGGAAAGCCTGTAAGGCCTTGTTCACAGGTGGCAATCTGGAATTCCTGCAGGAGGTATGCCAAGTATTCCTGTGGAGATGCGGCCCCTGTACCCATTGAAGTTATTGACCAGGTGACAGCAGGCACATCTGTAAGCGGCATTCCCCATGTAATCGTATATGGTACAATTCTCTTCGGGTTTAGAATAGATGACTGTCGCTGGACGGATCTATTCTGCGTCTAGCAACAATCATCTATTTCAAACCGCATGTAATCGTATCATATACATTTACATGCGGAGTGCCGCTTAGATATGGCCGCTGTCTCCTTGTTATTTACTTGAATGGGCACAGCGGTCACCTCTGAAATGGACACCTGGCATTCCTGCCTCAGAAAAAGAGACATCATGTCAGCAGGGAAGAAGAGAAGATGTATGGATGCATTTTACACTTGATGCTAACAAGAAGAAGACCCTTTGTAAACCATTTGGAGCATCAATTACTGCTAAAATCACAACAAACTTGAAGCGACATTTGAAGAATATGCAAGCAATTGTGTATGCCCCCCTCCCCCCAACAGTGTCAGACTGAATTTCCTGTAAATTTTGAATTTTTAGGCTTCAGGCCTAATAAAACCATCATAAAAAATGAACACCTGCAATGTGAGTCATGCACATGTATACATAATCTCTTTATTACCACAATAAATGCTAATCACTTACTAAGGTGGAAATGGACTTTAAGTTAACATTATTTTGTCACGTAACCTAAACTGATGTGTTTTTGCTAAACTTAATACAAGCCAAAAAAAAAAAACATGGCTGTCCCGATGAGAGAAACTAACCCTTTAATTTGAGATATGGTGACATATGGTGGGGGAAGGAAGGAGCATAAATGTAGTATACTATAGAGACTTACATGTGAACTTTTGTGTTGAACAAAAGAAATCCAAACACATGTTGTTGGCCCTTGAACAAGTAGCACACCCACACATTGCACCATTAATAAAGTCGTGTGTGGACAAATGCATGCAAGTGCGGGTCATTCCAAAGTGGAAGATCCTTATGTTACATAGTTACATCGTATTTGAGGTTGAATAAAGACACAGGTCCATCAAGTTAAACCTATTGTGTGTATGTTTGTGATTCTGCATGTGTGTGTACCAGACCCGTGTGCGTGTGATCTTATTTTTAATGATACCTGTATGTTCCTGTCTCTGAGGAAATTGTCCAAATGTATTTTGAATGATTCAACACTCTTAGCTGATACCACTGCTTGTGGCAGAGAGTTCCAGACCCTAACCGCTCTAACCGAGAAGAAGCCCCTACGCCCCTTGTGCTTAAATCTTTTCTCCACCAGCTGAGGTGGTGGCCTCTAGTCTTTGTTATGGAGTTTACCGTAAAAAATTTGTTGCTGATGTTGCTATCACTATTGAACATCTTATACTTCAAAATCATGTCCCCTCTTAATCTCCGCACCTCCAGCGTGAACAACTTTAAGTTTAGTAACCTTGTCTCATAGCTTTGGTCTTCCAGCCCCTTAATTAGTTTAGTTGCCCTTCTCTGGACTCTATCCAGCTCCAGGACATCCTTTCTGTGTATTGGTGACCAAAACTGAACCGCATACTCCAGATGAGGCCGAACCAGCGATCTATAAAGTGGTAAAATTATAGATTTGTCTCTACAGTACATTCCCTTTTTAATACAAGACAATACTCTGTTAGCTTTGTTTGCTGCAGTCTGGCATTGCATACTATTATTCAATCTGTGGTCTACAATGACTCCTAGATCCTTTTCCATTTCTGCCTTCCCTAGTGGAGTTACCATTAATGTGTATTCCGCTTGCCTATTTTTAACCCCAAAGTGCATTACTTTACATTTATCGACATTAAACCTCATCTGCCATATAGTTGCCCACTCCCCTATTTTATCCAGGTCCTCCTGTAATGTTATGGTTTCTAAGTCCATGTCTGTTACCCTCCCAATTTTAGTGTCATCAGCAAACACGGAAACATGGATATCCCCGATATGATTAATAAACAGGTTGAATAATGTGGGACCTAACACAGAACCCTGAGGCACACCACTCCTGACACATGACCAACCTGTAAAGGAGCCATTTATAGATACTCTCTGGACACGTTCCTCTAGCCAATTTTCTATACATGTATTCACCATTTCATCTATGCCCATAGACCTCAGCTTGTGTAGTAAGCGTTTATGTGGTACTATGTCAAATGCTTTCGAAAAATCCAGATATACCACATCCACCGGCTTCCCTCTATCCAGATCTCTACTCACCTCTCATGTTGATAACAGACAATGGGAGTAATATGGTGGCAGCATTTAATAAACACACCACAGCAGCAACATAAGAAGAACCCAGCTCTAATGAGGAAGATTCCCCCTTGGTAGATTGTGACTCTGAACTTGATGATCTTTAGTAAACCATTTTTATTTGTTATTATCACATGGATATGAGTCTGATGTTGGGGTCTGCTCTAGTGGTGTATCTTTGTCATTTCCCCACTTTACTTGTAATGTCATGTAAAAGTTTAGGTGTGCTCAAAAGTTTGCATACCCTCGGAGAATTGGTAATATATGTGATATTTTTAAAGAAAACATGAGTGAGCAGGCAAAACACATTCTTTTATCTCTTATGGGATATTTCTAATTCAATTGTAGGTCATTACAGAATGGCACAATCGTGAAACAAAACATGGTAACAAATAAAAACATAAAATGACCCCTGTTTAAAAGCCTATATACCCTTAGTTCGTAATACAGGGTATTGCCCCCTTTAGCATCAATGACAGCGTGCAGTCTTTTGTAATAGTTGTCTATGAGGCCCCGAATTCTTGCCGGTGGTGTAGCTGCCCTTTTCGGCAAAATGCCTCTAGGTCATGCAGTCTTTGGTCATCTTGCTTGAACCGTGTGAGGCAGGAGTGGCCCTGCATTGAGGCCACTCCCCAGAGTGGCCTCAATGATATTAGGTCAGGAGACTATGATGGTCACTCCAGAACCTTCACCTTTTTCTGCTGTAACCACTGGAGGGTCAACTTGGCCTTGTGCTTAGGGTCATTTTCCATACTCCATATTATTATATTATATTTCCATATTATAATATTTGATGTACCAACATATCGACATAAGACCACACACAGTGTGTGGTGCATACCTTACAACTTGAGGTCCACATGGTGCACCCTCACCCCCCTTCGAGCAGACAGGTGACAACGCCAAGCTAAAAGAAAACCTCCCCAAATTCTAGTCACATACGGGGTACCCACCAAGTACCGCAACTCGCCCCGCCTCTGACGAGCGCCACACATGGGGTAAAACTCTTCAAACTTTTGAACTTTGATCTGATCAGCCACTTTGATGACTTTGAACAGAACATAGCTACCGAGACCTTGCCACCCTTGCGCAGAAAATGGAAGGGAATGTGAACCAGCATTTTGCTTCGCTCTTAGATCCTACTAATAGAAGGTTCTTTCCACTTGCAGCAGCAGCTTGTTTACCCAACCCTTCTGTCTGTGAAGCCCTTCTTGATGTGGCTGATGGTGATATTCAGGATTTGCTTGCACAGGCAGAGGAGGAGTGTGTGCTAAAAAATTCAACGTTACCACACACAGAAGATGAGGCTCAGTCTGTAGATGATGAAGAAGAGGAAAATGGTGAGAAATCAAAGGAAGAAGCACCATCCCCATCAAAGCAGCCTGCCTTTCAGTTTCTCTCACAATTCAGCAGAAGACCCAGGCAGATGTCCTCAATAAACAGCATAGGGCAGCAGATCATAAAATATAAGGAAGAGCTACCTATCACTAATTATGACACTGGAATACATTTTTGGCTGGCACAGAATGATACTATTTATCACCAACTAAAACCTTTTAATTTAGACCTGTTGGCTATGCCAGCTTCTCAAGACTTTGCAGAGAGGGTATTCAGTGACACAGGTGACCTCAGTAGAGGCCTACGGAATAAAGCAAGGGTCATATTGGCATGAAGTGATTTCCTTAAAATGAATTGAAACAAATAGAAGAGACCAGTAACTTAATTGATACTTGTTTGTCAACTCTTTATCAACTCCTCTCTTTCTCTCAACGTTGAGAAAATCCCACTAAGAAAAGAACGGTTACTTAACTAGTCTGTTCTAAATGGGATATTTACCTCTTTTCTCAATGCTGAGAGAGATAAAGAGGAGTTGATAAAGAGAAGTGATTGTTACTGTATGATGCACTAATGGCATTGTAGCCTCTAACCTTTTTCTTTGAAGGTATTTGAGAATTAGAATAGTCAGTTGATTCTTCCTATAGGTAAAAGCATAACCCATGAGCATGGGTTTCCTTATACTGTGCCTGTGCTAGGCTGCAGAAACATTTTGTGGTGTTGAGTAACTTACTTTATACTTGCTTGTCAACTGTTTATCAACTTCCCTCTTTCTCTTAGCATTGAGAAAAAAGGTAAATATCCCACTGAGAAGAGACCGGTAACTTACAGTGAGATACAACATGTTGCTATGGGAATAGTGATTAGCAGTAAAAACTGTTCTTAGTGGGATATTTATTGTTTTTCTCAATGCTGAGAGAGATAAAGAGGAGTTCATAAGAGTAGTGATTGTTAGTGTATGAGGCACTAATGGCATTGTAGCCTGTGACCTTTTTTCTTTGAAGGTATTTGAGAATTAGAATAGTCAGTTGATTGATTTGTCCTCTAGATATAAGCATAACCCATGAGTATTGGTTTTATTATACTATGGCTGTGCTAGCTGCAGAAACCTTTTGTGGTGTTGAGTAACATTCTTGATACATGCTTTTATGATTAACAGAGAGCTGTTAAAAGTTTTATATTCAGGTAATATGTGCATTAAAGCCAATAAAGTTTATTTTTTTAATATAAAGTTGCATGTCTGTTTGTGAAAAAGTAATATTCTTGTTTATGAAACAATTATAACTGCACCAAACTCTTCACCCTTTAATGAATAACCCTGTTTGTTTCTGAGCTTTATGTGAAAGAACACACCCGGTATTCCTTTAGACGTACCTACAACCAGTGAACCAATCAGCAAACAGCACAGCTATATTCTGCAGTACCTGATGGCCAGCAGGGAGCAGCAGGCACATCTAAAGGGAATGCTGGGGATGTGTGCTTTTATATATTTTGAAAAGGATCCAAGGTAGAATTTACATTTCTACGAGCCTTCTGGTCCATCAAACACAGAACAAAAACCAGCAGAGACTTGACAGTGATGATGCCACTAGGTTTCAAAGGAGATATTTCTTGGGGGAAAAAAACGTGAATTTTCATCTATTAAAATGTGCCAGGCTGCATATATTATAACAAATGTATTGTATGCATACACTACACTTCATGTGTGCTATAATATATGCAGCCTGGCACATTTAATAGATGTAAATTCACATTTCTGTGCGCTAACTAGAGATGAGCATCGGGCTTCGTGTGAAGGCACACACCTAGAGAGCTGTCTAATGGCCCCAACTTCCGCTCCGTACGACACTTCCGGGTTATCAAGATGGCAGCGCCCTGTGATGGCAGCACGGGGACTCCGCTTAGATCCCCCGTAGGGACACCGGGGAAAGTCCGGGAGCTCATCAACGAGGGGATAGTGAACGAGGATCGCTGCAGTGAGGGCAGGTGAGGAAGATTTTTCCCATGTGTGTCAGGATAAGGACACTTTTCCTGCACAGTCTGGCGTTCTTTCACATAAACATTATGTACAGAAGCCGCTTGCTTTATTTATTGTAGAACAGTGAAATGTTATGTATAGTATATCAGTTCCTGATGGAGAGATTACCCCCCAGGGTTAGGTATGTGCGTATGCTTGCAGCGAATTGAATTCACCTGCGCAAAAACTGCCACTGACACACCCCCTCCTGGCCCAATCAGCTGTGGTTGGGGCATAACCCCGCCCTTGTTATTCCAGTGTAGGTTGGAAATGCTCTGGCCAGTGGCCACAGCTGGTTTGTGCCAAGCCCATGCACATCCCTAGGTCACCTTTGTAGCCTGAAAGCGAAGGGAGAGGCTACACCACACATGTTACAGGTCCCCACAGACATTGCCTACTAAATCGCCCTCTAAATACACTTCTTCCTAAGTTTCTATATGGTCACGTGAGCACAAACCTCCTGCTGGACCTTGTCGGTCTCTGCCCGCTGATAATGCTGTTGAATTTTCATAAAGTAGTCAAGTCCCCCACTGGCACATCCTTCGCTCCAGGGTGCCGTTGGTCGGCAGAGAGCTTACACCTACCAGCCGCGACGACGTCAGAGAAAAAGAATGGATCAGGAGTTTTGTGGTCATGTGACTGCATAGAAAATCATATAATAATGTATTTAGACAGCAATTAAATAGAAAATGTCTGCAGGGAGTGAAAAAGCCCCCGGGGGGAGGGGGGGGGGTGTTTGTAACATTTATAGCAGAACTCTGAGCATATCAGATTTTAACCCTTGTAGTGGGGCTGCACTGCAAAGATTAAGTGCTCATTTTGTCTAGGGAGCTAAAATAACAAAGTAATACTTACCTGAACTGGAGTCCTGGCTTGCTCTTAGACCGGTCCCGTCAGCCTTGCTCCCCCTCAGATACAGCGTTCTAAGTTCCGGTGATTCATCTAGTTCTACTCAGTGTATTGAACATGAGGATGCCAAGGTACTTTCCATCGCTGGGGCGGAGGAGGGGACACATTGGAGGGAGCAGTGTAGGAGCCAGCCAGGATCATGGTTTGGGTTGTTATTTTAGCCTAAACTGCAAGGGTTAAGAATTGATTTGCCTGGAATTCTGCTTTAAAAGGTGTGTTGTTGTTTCCAATAGACAGTATAATATTACAATATAGGTAGATTGTGTTACTTGTTCATTTTATAGTCTCCAGCACCTTATTTTTTCCCTTTATTTGTAAGGAAGGACAACAGTATCTTATCAGATGAAAACCACAGCTTTGATGCATCAGCTGATGTTGACACTTTGGAAGCCACAAGTAAAGAAGCATTTTTCACCAGAGTGGAATCCTTCTCTATATCCTTTGCTGAGACACCACATGGCCAGTGGCACTGGTATAAACACCGGTTTATCATAGAGGCATTGAAATACAGAGCTTTATACATTGGCAGTTGAAACCTGAAAGCCTGTACATGTCATGCATGTCATATTTAGGACACTTTTATTTATGAAACTCACAGGGTTTTGGTTGTGACCAGTCTTAAATCCTACTCAAGTTATAGGCTCTCCCCGGACTATAGAAACAGTGTTTATGCTGTCACATAGGGGAGAGATTCCTCAATCCTGTATAAGCTCCACCTAGCGTGACTTGGAGCTGGCACATGTATGTACAGCTGCTCCAGATTTTGTCTGCTCCAGTTTTGATAAATTCCCTTCACTGTGGTTACATTTAAAGTGTATCTATAGCCAAAACATTTTTTTATTTTATAGAATGGGGAAGTGTTAGAACTGTTAGAGATCACAACCCCTTTACAAATGAACTACTCCTACTGCTAGCTGCTGGGTCACACCATCTTGTTTACAACATTTAGAAACCTTATAGCGTCTTTTTAACAGTGCAGAAATGAAAGAGTATTTTAATAGATTGCTAAATCATGGCTGTCCAGCACGCTCAGTGTAGCCAGCCTCAAACGACACGGTAATTGGGTAATGTCACATGAGAAGCGAACCGCGCAGCTTGACCATACCATGCATACATTTGAGAAAATATGGGCACCCTGGTCCCGAGAAATACATGCCCTCTGACGTTCACCGTCATCTCCTCATTTTGTGAAGGGAATTATTTGAAAACGTCACTATTGATGTCGCGTCCTCCTAGCCGCAGCCTGACCCTTTCCTCATTCCTTCCCTTGTATTCCTCTTTTTTTTTTTCTACCACTTTCCTTAAACCCTCTACCCCCATCCCTTCCGATGTACCTCTACGTATCTAACCTCAGGACACCCTGCTGATTCCTCTGTGTCTGGTTTCCTTTTAGCCCACACTCATGGAGTATCTGCAGCTACACCAACACTGGGTTATTTTTTTCTTTTTATTGATGCATCTTCAAGTTTTACATGGAGATTCAATAGCTTGTCTCACCCACAGTGCCTATGATAGTCGATATGAGCGAGGATCTGCTATGCCTCGCCATAAGCCTATTTTTGCAGTTGTCGTCCTATATGATTGTCCTGAATGATAATATACAGCTCCTATGTACATTGGTCTTGTATGAGCTTTCTACATACAGTTTTGTGTCTTTGTTAACCTCAATAAAAATGTATATGGAAAGAGCATTTTAATACTTTTCTCGTTTTAGGTCAATTATAACTAGATGTTTCACACACCGAAAGGAATCTGTCTTGGTAAATCCCCAGGAGGTAAAACATCAAGTCAAAGCTCGTACAGACTTGTAAGAAGATTTCCCACTATGCTAGTGTTAAAACAGCTTATTCTATCAGACCACTGGTAGGGTGTAGAACAGGTAAAGTGATATTAAAGCCTATTTTTATTTATTTCTCCTTTAAGGAGACCCTCCTTTGCTGGAGGCTGTTGCTCTTTTTCTTTAAAAGTTTCTATTTCCTCGTTTTCTAGTGGCTCCCCGCAGCGCTTTTCCCCCCCACCCCCTGCACGGGTGCCACCATGATTCTAGTGGAGGCACCCGTGCGCGCTCATTTCCGCAGCTGCTGTGTGTGTCCATAGACACACACAGCCCTGTGGCAGGCCACGCCCCTTCCCTCTTTGATGGCAGAAGGAGCCTATGGCTCCTCTGGCATCAGTATCCTCCCCCTGCAACCCGGAAGTTCGGGGTACGGAGGATAGCTTTGGGACTGGCGGCAGGGACGAGCGCAGCTGACAGGTAAGTGTGGGGGGGGGACTGGGGTAGAAAAAAGGTTCTGGGCCGTTTTTACCCTAATGCAGAGAATGCATTAAAGGAGAACTATGAGATGAGTGATTTCCACTCACCTCATAGTTCTAGCCGACCTGTGACAATGAGATTGTCACAGGTCGGCTCAGTAGATCGGGAGGTGAGCGAACACATACCGGGTTCGCTCACCTCTTGATCCTGTCACGGCTCTCTGCCGTGACAGGGGGAGGGGCTAGATTCCCCTCTCCCCGCTCCGATCTGCCAGCGCTGACTGGCGGAACGGACGGGGGAGGGGGCGGGTACAGCTGGCTCTGCCTCTAGATAGGCAGAGCCAGCTGTCACTCACGCAGCTGGGCGGATCCCGTCATCTACGTCGGGATCCGCTCCGGCTGCGGCGTCTCAGTATACCGCGAGCTGTAGCTCGCGGTATACTGAGCTTAGGGTAACGGGAGGACGCTAGTTTGTGTCCTCCCGTTACCCTAAGGAGAACTATGGGGAAAAACACTGACCCCATAGTTCTCCTTTTAAGGTAAAAAACTCCCAGGCTTTAATACTACTTTAACTGTTAGTTGCTATCCATGCAACAAAAAGGGAAGAAAAAAACGGGTGCTATTTTACCATATTAAACAAGTATGTAATATAATTTTAGTTTTAATGGTTACTGCAACATTTACGCAAAGTCATTCCTTAACTTGAGAACTCCCTGAAATGGGCAGGGAAACCTTCAGCGTTATGTCCTTTAGCGTGTGCCAAGTACGGATGGTCAAATGTCGAATGTGACATGCTGAAGTGTTGCAGCTGTAATGCCTACCTGTGTGCCAGCCTGCAGATAGCTTTGGACATCAATAAGTGTAAGTATTGTATATACGTTGAGTGTATCCATATTGGACCAGGAAATACAAATGTTGTTAAATTGCACAGAAGGGAAACCTTTTTTCTACCCTGTGACTGAGTTAATGTCGTTATTGCTGCATTCGCAGTGACTGTTCATTCATCGTTTGTTTGCAATTTCCTCTGAATTACATTTTCTTTAGATCTGTTTTCTCTCTTGTTTTAAGACGTTCAAAGGGCCAGGTCACCTAAAAATTACATTTCAGTTGTTGTGCAGTAACCTTCTAGTTTTTTTAATGTTCTTGTGACTTAAAATGGTAAGATCTCCCACCATAATTATGTTACCATCCACCTTGAAGGCTCACTCCTGCTGCACTAGTTTTCTCTCCTTGCTGTATTTTCTAATAAGTAAAATAAATAGGTCCAGTATAGAGAATGGACCCCTCGCAATTGTTCTGGCAGGGAAATGAAGCACACACACACACAGAAGTCCTTGGGATCAAAGAAACTAACATGATTTTAAGTGTAACTTCCCCATCCCCCACCCCCCCAAAGCAAAAAATCCTACAGACATGCAGTTCTTCATGTCGATATATAAACAAGTTTAAAAAAAAATAATAATGAAAAAGCTGCATTTGTTTTTCTAAGCAGATATGTTTTCCACTTGCTGGTCTAATGAGGCATCTCTGATGTAGCCATGACCTATAGGTACCTCCTGGGAAAGCTATGTCACTAGTTACATTTTTAAGACATTATTTCATCAATTGAATAATGATTTAATTTAAATTAATGATTGATCTGTATGTGTATTAAAAAAAAATAATTTTGTTGTTGTCTATATCCCATTGGTTAGATTCTGCTTCACATTCTGTCCTAGTAACCTAACGGGAAGTAAGGAAATATTCACTCTTAAGCAGGGTTTACACTGCAAATTTTAGCCGGTTCTTGATGCAGCAGCTGCAAAGGTATTCTGGCAGCGGCTAGCAGGACAGCAAGGGAATTGTCCATCCACACTGTTAAGAAAATATTCTAGTATATCCCCAACTTTCACTGGAATATGTTTTCCAGTCGGATGATTTCCTCTCATTCCTTTCTCTGGATACACTTGTGAAATTGTTCACTGTGATCACAAAAACAAATGGAGAGGGTGAATTTCACTAATGTGGACAGCAATAGGGATGCACCAATACCGGTTTTTCGGTATCGAGTACCGATATTTTTTTTCAGTGCTCCCCGTTATCGGAAGTCCTATTAAGGAAGTCAGGTGTCGTGTAATGACTCGCCACCCGGCTTCCCGATTAGCCAGGAAGCGTCTTTATGCTCCCTCGTCACCAGGTGATGAGGAAGAGTGGAGCTGGCTTTCTGGCCAATAAGGAAGCCGGCTCCCTGGTGACGAAGGAGCATGGAGATGACTTTCAACCCAATCAGGAAGGCGGGCAGCGGGTAATGACTCGCCACCCGGCTTCCTGATACCGGAAGTTCCAGTATGGGGATAGACGAGTACTCGCCCAAATACTCTGTATCGGTACCGGTGCATCCCTAATAAAAACCTAGCACGGTCATATATGACGTGCATTGTATGTCTGTAATACTACTTTTTCAGGGGCCAGGGGGGTCGTGTAGATAATGTTTGACAGTTGGCATATGGATACAATCACTGTAGTGAAAATGTTTTATGCCTTTGTGTTTAGATAAGCAGCGCTGTGTGGAGTTACAAGAAGAACTAAGAACCTCTCATGAAAAGTTCTGCTATTGGCCAGTCAGTCCCTGTCCAGGTAGGACTTTTAGTGGAAAGTGTGTGTATCTGTAATTTACCAAGAAATAAATGTGTCAATGTATGACAAGGACATTGACAAGTTCAGATACTCACAGCTTTTTTACATTGTACCTTCTCCAAGTGTGGTACCAACAGGGTTGCGCAACATAAAAATTTTCAACTACCACCATTTTATTCTATAGGGTCTTGGCATTCAGAAAATATATAATGTTGGGGGGTTTTACGTCATTTTCAGGCCTAAAATGTGGAATATAACATGGGTGCAAAAATGGAAAAAAGGGCCTCAGTCATGAAGGGGTTAAATAATATGTAAAAAAACACTAACCTTATTCAAATGTTGGTCATTCTGCATTTGCCGTATTTGCATGTGATAGTGTTGTGAAACTGCTCAGTGCAAGGGTGGACACATGAATATGGAATTCAGGAGCCAGTCTGCCCAATCCAGGAGCCAGCAGGATTTTTTTAGGAGCCAGCTCCATTGCAAACAACTAGAGAGCCTTAAAACGTAAGCACCAGCTTTCATTTTTGAGGAGCATTGGCTACCTGGGTCCTAGGATTTGTCCAACCCTGGCTCATTGTGTAATAAGGTTTTATTCATTACATAGCCTTACTGTTACTACATATTTACTTACCAAGGTGCTGTCATGTTTTGTTCAATCATAAGTACTGATATTGACTGTCCTAATTCCTCCTGCTTCACAAATAGTGATTTTCTGAATGAGAAGATATGTTTTATGTAGTATTTAGGTTGGCTGTTGGCTGCAGAGTTTTCCAATATGTTGTCTCTCCCAAAAAAATTCATGTTTGAAGTGTGCTCTTTGAATTTCTCAGGTATACTTCCCTGGATGATTCCTGGAAAAGGAGTTATCATTAAGAACCTCTCCTCTGTTTCTGATTGCAGATAACTTCTGGGCTCTTCTAATATGTGAACCATCCTCTGTGCTCAGTGACTTTATTGAACGTTTTCAAAACCTTTGTCGCCTGGAGTTGCAGCTTCCAGCCCTCAGGCAGGAGGACTTAAAAACCATGGTAAGCACATTTTCCTGATATCTGCTTAAAGCCCAACACTTACTGTCGGGTTTCTTTTAATATTGCCACTTCAGGGTCTAAAGTGGCCATGTGACAGCCCACGTGTAAACATTACTTCTGCATCCTTTAGTTTACAATTAGTTTTTCTTTATATTTAAAATTCTAGATATATATTCTGACATGGCTTTATAGTTCTAAGGTCCAGCTATGGCAAACATTCAAGTCTGCATTTCCAAATGAAGTTTCTATTGTTTTGGCACTTTAGTTTGCTTAGAAATGAGCCATACATGTCTTGGAAATAGCTTTGGACTATTGGAGAGTAGGATCTACTTTGTTGCTTTGAGTCTTACCATATACACTAGAAAAGACATAGAGGATCATGCATGAGGCTGCCAAATGTATATTTGAGTGTTTTCTTCCTGTGTCTTTGTTTCATACAAAGATATAGGCCGGAAAAAGAAACAGTTGTTTAAAAATGCATTGTTTTTGGAATGGCTACATTCGAAATAATCCCATAGATGAGACATTTACGTTTGTTGTTCTACTGATCAATACATCAGAGGGGGTTTCTTCTCCGAGCAGATTTGCTTTGGAGTTTTTCTAATATTCTGGCTCTTGAGAGACATGATGAAGCCGATATCCCAACTATGGATAAACAGCCCAAAGTGTATTCCATCATACGTTGACACTATACTGGCTATGTATAATGAATATTGTCGCTCAATTTTCCCTAAATAACAAACATTTATTAAATTATACCAAAAGAAAGCCATATTTGCCTTTCAAAATCAGAGTAAAATCTGCTCTGGTTGCAAAGTTATGGAACTGCCTTGGTCAAGAAGGCGTAAAAAAGCTTTACTTCAGGCAAATGGCTAAGTACACAATTCAAATAGATATATGTTAGCTGTTTTACCTGTCAAAGTATTTGTGTTCTGCCCATCTAATCCTGATATTTACATATAGCCATGCTTGGCGGTTCTCTGCTGCAGCTGATGAACAAAGCTAGGTCACCTTCCTTCCCTCAGCCATTGATTGAGCAGTGAAGGAGAAACAGCGGTTTACCCCTCTGCTCCCTCATTCTGTCAGCATGTTTCTTTTCAGGCCATGCACATGCGGAACACCTGATTGGCTCCTAGTGTTGCCTCTCATTTTCGTAGCCTGAGGTCTGCTATAAGGGGGATTACTAGAGTCTGACACCAAGGGGTTCATTTGCAAAAATTCCACCTGTTGTGTACCATCCACATGGCACTAGCGCCCATGAATGGCACTAACGAGTATAGGAATTTACTATACTCAGCACCATCTAGGGCGCTAGTGCCATGCGAATGGTATAAGCCACAAAAGAACTTTTATAAATGAATCCCTACGTCAAATTCAGGTACTAGCACTAGCTGTGTTTTAATTGGTGACTTATTTTATATCTGTCTAGAGTTAAGCTTTTAAACGTCAGTTACTTGTAGTTTGTTGTTTTTTTTTTAGTATTTAGGTTTGTTTTACAAATGTAACTTTTCGCTTGTATGGCTGATTTTAATTGTATAACCACAGATCTATGTATAAAACACTTGTTAATCCTTTCAACAGCTGCTTATGTAGTGTAGATTACTTCTTCCTGGAAATAGGAAGTAATTGCATTATATTTATTTATGAGGGGTTGTCGTTCTTCTTTGACTTTCACTTATCACTTTTCTTATGTCAGGACCTCAGTGAGGAAACTGTAAGTTTACTCCTGCGGTTGATCGAGGATGAACTGAAACCTGTAGAAGGAAGGGAGAATTCTGCACATGGCTTGCCCAGTGACTCTCTGCAAGTTCAAATCTCTGCCTGTATTCTAGCTCTTTGTGGATGGAACAGCAGGTTTGTTGAAATCAGTTATTATGCTTCATCCTATGACAGAAAAAATGCAAACCTAAAAGAATAGTTTAGGTCATCTTCATCATATATTTACAGAACACAACAGATCCCAACTCTGGTTACCTTTCCCTTAATGGATATCTTTCAAAATGACACTTTGGTCCTGTGCATCCAGGCATGCTTCTGGCACACATTAATCATGCCTATCATCATCTTAAACTGACAGACATGAACAAATTTGTTGGTACCCTGGTAGCTCATTGAAACTGTGCTTCTTTCCTCCTGAAAAGTGATGAAATAAAAGCTATTGGCTTACATATACCTGCATGCCTCTGGTATGTTAGAGAGTAAAGCAAAGAAAGTGTAAAAAGAGATACATTACTGCTTATTCTACAAAGATATATTTTAAAATGGGCAGGACAGAATTGTTGGTACCCCTAGATCAGATTAGAAATAATTGGAACACAATGATATTTCATAGTAACGGTTTTCTGAAAAAAGTACCACAAACTTCAATTGTAAACAGTCATTCAGCTTACTTAAATGGGGAAAAGTAGTCACTCTGCTGTTTGGTATCATTGTGTGTCCACACTGAATGTGGACCGGAGAAAGCAGAGTTGCTTTTGCCTGAGGAAGGGGATCCTCTGTGACCCCGAAACGTTTGTTGCTGTTTACTATGCTGTACGTCAAAAAAATAGACGTTTGCTTATGAATTTGGAGTGCCGGTGTCTTTATCTTTACTTGTGATTATAACAAATGTCACCCATTGACTACCGCAGCACCCGCTTTGCAAAGGGATTTGGCGGTCAGGAGTGCAATGGGACCATGGACTTTCTTTGAATCTGTACAGGGCACAATGAAATCTCAAGACTGAATGCGGTAGCAAAACGTACTGCGTGGTCTCAGAAATCTTTGTCTCAGTCATAGGTTATGGGTCCTTGAACAGGTTTATTAACCAAAAGTCATAGCTAAAAGCACCCAATAATGGCAAGAACAGTTCTTCAGGCCATACTGAAGTGGCCTTCCATGGGCCCTAATCTGAGTCCTATTTAACTTCTATGGACAGAGCTTAAAGATGCAGTCTGTAGGGGCACCCCTCAAAGCTAAAACAGCTGGAGCAGTTTGCTCTAGTATAGTGGGCCAAACTTAACCCCTCCCCCTAACAAGAGTACTGCAACCTGAGGAGAAAAAAAAAAGGGAACAGTTTAAAAACTGACAGAAAAGGAAAATGAGTTTTTAAATACTAAAAAAGGGTAAAAGGAAGGAAGGAAGCAGAGACAACAAGTATACCAAAAATCAAGCACTTAATATATCCCAAACAGTTCAAATCCAATTTTTTAACGCCACTTAGCTTCCAGGCACTTTGTTCTCCAAGCCCTGTTGGCAGGTGCAGAGGTCTCATTGAGAGCTACAGGAAACTACTTGTTTGCAGTAATTGCTTCTAAAGGTTGTGCAACAAAATATTTATAGGTTCAGTCCCATCATTTTTGTCCATGCCACTTTTATTATTTAAAATATTTTGCTATATTATTTAAAATATTTAGTTTTTTTTTTAAAAATCAAACGCAAAGTCTGTTTTGTATAACTATGAATAGGTGTCAACTACTTTTGTCAGTTTCAAGTTATCTCAGAGAAAATAGTGGGTTCTTGTGTTTTCATGGGATTTCATGGGGTCCAACAATTGTGTGCACGTTTGTATCTGTATTAGCCTTATCAGACTAATAAATGGCAGAAATTCTAACTCCTATCCACTAACTAATGCTCCTTGCTTCTCCTGTTTGTAGGGATCAGTGCTCATATTAACAACCTGGAAAATAAGGGCTTATGGGTGTAAAATGTGTCAATGATTTGTCAGTTGATTTAGGTGGGCATTAGTACAGGTTTGGGACCAAGAGACCTTGGATACAAAATCCATCCATGAGACCTTGGATGACAAAAAAAATAAAACTCCTCTTCTGCACATAGAGAAACTTTTCAAAACATGTAATTTGATCCAACGCCACTTATTTATGTATATAATAATATGCGTTCTATCTTAAACAAGACTCAAGACATTTCCATTTTAGAATGCTTTGTTTATGAACTGATTTGCTATTTTTTTTAGCCCTTCATCTGGGTCTTTACCTCTGTCCATCATAAGCTGTCCCCGCTGTATGAGGAAGGTTGGATTGTGGAGCTTCCAGCAGCTGGAGTCCGTGGATTTGGACAGTTCCTTTGGACCACCCAGTACTCCGGTATCTCCAGGAGAGGGTCACAGTGACAGAACACCTTTGGGAGTGGTGTCTCCCAACAGAAGGGTTACTAGAAGCAAAGACCTTGAACAGGTATGCAAAGCTAATAAACTGTAGGTATGTTATGACCAGTAAAAAAAAAAAAGAATGGCAACTGCTTGCTTCAAAAATATATTTAAACAATGGTATCTTGAAAAGAAGTATATTAACTTGTATCACTACACATTTTTTGTTGGGCAGATATAGATTTAAAGCTATTCACTACATTTCAAAGGGCACTTTTGGAAGTTTTTAGGCTTTAGTCGCGCTTTAATTGGGCTCTGTTAGACCCACTATTGAATTGCTATGTAACTGTTTAATATTTCATCAAAATAAACACCTCCCTTTATAAAAGCATGATCCCATAAATATAACATTTTACTATTGTTAGAGTCCTATGGCAGCTGCAACCCAGGCCCCCAGCGGAAGCTCAACAGGATCATCGGAATCAGATGCTGTGCGGAGTCGGCCAGTGACCCGTAGCATGGGACATGGAGAAAACTCAGGAATTACATCTGAAGTCCAGTCCAGTCCTCAACGTAAAGCCAAGCGACCTAGGCTCTGCTCTAGGAGCAGTATAGTAAGTTATGAAAGGCTCCAGTACCTCTGTGCCAGGGTTGTCATATATATATATATACATATATATATATATTTCTTTTTTTTTCAATTTTATCATGTTTATATATGTAGCTTTATCATCCTGCAATGTAAAACTGTACTAAACTAGCTCGCTTTCTGTCCAGGATTCTTCTCCCAAGGGCTGTTTTGATCCCCTGAATCAACACAGAAGTTGGTGTCCATGGGTCACTGTGGGTTGTGCAGACAACAAAGGAGATGCTGAGAACAAGGTGAAGGAAAATGAAAATGAGGCAAAGGAGATTGGATGGAAGGAGGTGCTACGAGTGCTACTATCAGAGGGAAAATCCAGGACACTGTCTGATGGAGACTCTACAGTAAGACATCTGAATTGCTTGTAGCTACCTCAGTTTCTATTTCTCATGGCTGTAAAATATAAAGTTCATGTTTTTTGTTTAAGCCAGCATGTAGTTTTATTTTAAAGAGAGTTTTCAGACCGCCATAAAATGTTTTTTTGTCCTTGTTATGTGTAGCTAGGAATTAGCTCCTTGAAAGTCTATACTTTTGTGATGGCCATTAGTCAAAGATCTAATAGGTAGCACATCTGCCTTTATGGACCATATACACTTGACAAACACCCTTGTTACTGTGGCTGGAAATGACCGCAATCAGTCTGATAGCTGTCATCTTCACATGACTTCCCCAACATGCTCTATATAATATTCTTTACATAAGAGGGAATTTTTTCCTTCCATCACTGTTGTTTTAGTGTCAAACATTCTGTCATATTTGCACACTATAGAAGCAGTGTTCCGCACAACATTTTTTTTATTTGTTTGGCACATATTGTTTTTTTTTTTTGTTTATTATTTATTTCAATAGTTTTTTGATTCAAGTTAGAGGGTCTGCATGAAATGTGGGCAACTATAGGTCAGGAATGACTGCCTACATACTTTTTTTTGAGGAGGGTTTCTCTTTAACCAGTTGCCGTCCGCCCCCGTTGTAAAAAAACGGACGGACGGCACTGCTGCATTGGCGGGTTGCCGTCTCCAGACGGCATTTTTTTTCTGCGGGCGCGCACGGGCAGAAGAGACCCGTGCAATGCAAACACCCGGTACCGGGTGTTCCACATATAGACGATCGGCGGCTCTATAGCCTGCCGATCGTCTATATGTGTTTGTTTTTTCGTTCTGCTGACTATTTACCCGACCTGACCCCATCTTTTGTATTTTACCAAAAATATGGGTAAGAATAAATTTTTTTTAACATAATGTAGGGAAAACATTTTTTTTGGTCAAAATTTACTTAAACTTTTTATATTATATTGTACAAAATAAAAACCCCGGTGGTGATTAAATACCACCAAAAGAAAGCTCTATGTGTCCCCAAAAAATGTTAACCTAAATTGCAAGGCTATAGTCCGGTCATGCTTACTGGTGACATTTTTGACTGACTGGTGAGACACCCTAAAATGTGTGTGTGTGTGTGCATATATGTGTATATATAATCAGGGATGCACCAATCCCATTTTTTCATCCCAAGTACTGATACTTATCGAGGTACTCACAGATACAAGTACGGATACATTTTTGTTTATTGTCATGTGACAGTTTTTCTAAAACAATACAGACTAATGAATTCAGTACAGTGGTGGCGCGCCAGAGTTAGCTCCCAGCTGCAACCACTGCAACCCTGGTAGTTTTTGTGAAAATGCCAATTGGCCATACGGCACTGGTATGTGAACATCCCTAGTTGAAACCTCTGTTGAGTTTGATTGTTTTTTGGATGCCCATTGTGGAGATTTACTCTTACTTCCTATTTGGGTGTCTACAGTTATGAGAAGTGAGATTAACTGTGGCATATTCAAAAACCTAAGAGATTCTAAGCCTTCATCACTTGACTATAATAATAGTAATAAGCGGTCTGTGTCCCCAGTTGCAAGATTTCCCTCATTTCCTGGTTTTCATAGAAAGCTAGGAACATTCTCACAAACAATGACACAGACAGCAATAAAACTTGACAGGCTATATATACTCTCTCCAAATATCTGTAAAAAATAAGTCAAGGCAACTGGACTTGCTGTAGTTTTCTTGAAGACGTTTCACTGGACATCCGACCAGCTTTCTCAATTCAGAATGACTTGTACAAAAATTATCTGGGAATAAATATGGTGAATGTTGCTCCAATCCACATAATATGTTAGTCGCAACCAGATGTTGATTGCATTGCATAATTGGAGCTAGGAGGTGTTAATAACCTGCCCAGAGAGAGGTGTTAAACCAGCATTGTATGTGGCAGACAATAGATGTCTCACTCCCCCACCTCTATTCAAGCTTGGCTTCTCCATTTTTACATAAATGGCCTCTTTCACACTTCTTTTAAACCAGTCCTCCTCCCTGTCTCTCTCCAAAGGAAAACAGTCCCACTTTAAGGCAACCTGGTAATATTTTCCATTGTTTTAATAATCACTGCTTAAAGCAAACCTGTGATGTACCCATGCAGTATGAAGCAACTTGTTCACTTAGTTGACTGTCCCCCTGCTGCTAATACTCACCTTCTCTTGGCTCCGCTACCACTCTATTTATCTGCCTGAGGAAAATGACCTACCCAGTACTTCCAGGTATGGGGAATCTCTCCCCTTCTCCCATGGTAGTGATGCATGCCCAAGCAGCTAGTCTCCAGACCTGAGTGTTGTCATGCGTGGCCGAGGAGAGATGCCTTAGCCCTCTGTATGCTCTGACCAGACTGATTTGGCACTTAGAGTTTTTTCTCTTTGCTCTAGCCAGTGAAATGTGCGAAAAGAGGCAGAGTGCAGGGCAGGCAATTAAATGACTTAGTTGCTTTGCTCGTGTTGGGTTTGCAGGTTCAACTTAATATTTAGGCTGTTTTTAAGACTCTGGTCTGTTTTGCTAATACTGCTTATCTTTGTTACAGAATGTGCAAGAGAAATCTCGCAAAGTGTTCAGAATATTCAGACAGTGGCAGGCAAGTGCCTCCTCATGAAGTCTGGAGGGTGACCATTATATGAAGATTTCCAGTTTCATGTCCCACCACCAACCAATTGGCTGACGTCAAATAGATGTGTGTGTACTATGTAAAAGTAGACTCTGCTGGAAGCTTTCTGTACAATGTGCTGTACTCTCAGAACAAAGTTAGGATTTCTGTGTCTGTTGGGTCTGCATGTTTGCATTCAGGTAACAATAGGTCACAGATGTTTTAGGAATGGCTCCCAGATGTGTGACCAGTGAAAAAAATGGTAACGTAAGTACTGAGATGTTACAGGTCAGGCTAATACAAGGTTTCACTAGTAAACATTCCATTTCTAATCTTTCTTGGGATGTCTTGATTTTCAGTTTCATATAATAACAGACTTCAGTGTGCTTTTTATTCCCTCTTCTGGAAACTTTAGTTTAAAAAAAAACCTTAATGTTTGCTACAGATCAAACTGTAATAACATACATAGAAGTGTATGGAACATATCAGAACAGATTATACAATATTTCTCTAATTTTCTTTTAAATTCTAAAATCTGTTAAAATGTATTTTTAAAGCCAGTCAGTCTTGCTTTCACAGAATATATTAATGAGAGACAAGTGAGAATCTGATTGCATGTTATAGAATAAATACATTCTTTGTTCATGATGGGCATTGTGCTAGCTACTACTCCTTACATTGTAATGGAAAAGAGTCCTTTGTGTGTTTGATGTTATTATTGAACAGCAGCAATTATTTACATCTTTGTGGATCTGCGTGCATTCTCAACTCAGCATTCTATGTGTTCCTGAATCATGAGAAAATAGCTTGGGATTAATATATTGCTGTTTTCTTTCAGTGCAACTAATACATATCAAGCATATCTAAAGTGGGATGAATCGACACTTGTGTTTGCCTGAATAAAGTTTTTCTTTACCACAATGACATCATTGGTGTGCCGCCTTACTTGTTTTCTGGACTGCAAGCCAAGCTACTAGCATTTTTTAGGAGAAGGTTGGCAATGCAATATTGGCCAAATGACATATTACCTTTACATTTGTAGTGTTAACTAACACTGAGATGAGTGATTGGGCATTTACATCTTGGAAATTAGTCCCATGCACTCATACCCCTGCCACTAGCATGTATTAAAGTTTGGTAATTCTGCGTTTTGAGTAGAATTATTCCTAAAGCATCTGCAGTGGAATAGACCTCCCCAATTCGGCACTGTCATCACATAGCTGATCCCTATAAATCCTTTTTCAGTTTAATTCCCTACTTTGCTTTCACATTTGCAGACTTATTTGGTCTGATGTGTTTCGTTCCTGACAGTGTCCCCTTCCACCTCCTGCATGTAACTATTGACCTGTTACTATGATGGGCAACCAGTGGTCAGTATTGAGGTTTAGGAGGTAAGAAGGAGTTGGGCTAGGCTCTTAAACGACTGAAGATGGCCAACCTTGTGTTTTTTTGTTTTTTTTATATAGGTTATTATTGAGTAAAATTTTAAACTGGATTCACTGTGAAAGGCAAAAGTACCCATGTACCTTGTTAAATGTACCCCTGAGGGTGCCAGTAGCCTTTTTTAAGTGTATTCCCCCTTTTGCAGTCACATTTGATAATGCCCCTCTATATGTTGGTTATGTGTTTCCATTCACAGAGCATAACAAAAAATATTTTTTATGACTTTTAGATTTTTGCAAAAAAAAAGGTAAGACGTGCAAAGGTTACTTATTTGGGAAGAGCTAAAACCGTCTCCTATTTTTTAACCGTGGGCAGAAAATGGTCTACAGCCGCTTACAGATCTGCTGGGGGATCGGCCTATAAGCGTGGGTATTGGCTGCGCTATTTTTCAACTTAAAGATTTTTATTGTAGAATACGGAGTAGGGGGCAAGTATATAGGGACTTAACACCGTTAGAAAAGGTTTGTCTGTAGGAGGAAGCACCGACTAAGGTAATATCATTACTATATAATATATTATTAACCTGTGTGACTCCAAGAGTGCCTTACTATGTGGCGAAGTGGGAGAGAGAATTGAAATGTAAAATATCAAGTAGGGAACTTACCTTTTTAGATTATGTGTTGCAGCAGGCAACATGGCTGAATTCAGGCTTTTTTCAAAGCACCTTCACAGTGATCCACCCTTATAAAGACTTAGGACTAAAATTTGAGGATTGTGTTTCTCTCATTAACTTCATTAACATACAATACACACGCCAGGGTTGTAATCCTTTAACCCTTTTTTTGGTACAAGCAGTGTTCAAATCTACTTTACAAACTATAATGAGAAAATCACTCACCCCTCACAACCCCTCCTAACAGTACAAAAAAGGAAAAAGTAGAAATGTAACCCTTAAGAAGCCAAGAGACCATAAGCCAAGTAAAAGCAATTTAAACTGCAAGAAGCATCTTTAAAATATTTTTAGCCTATACTATGTGAATGGGAACATGTAAACATAAAATAGGTGTTATTCCAATTTGACTGTGAAAAATACAAATCACAAATGCAACCAAAAAACACCTTTTTATCTACTTTTTTTATTATATGAAAACAGCTACTATGCAACTAAAACATGATGACTTCAGAAACTGGGTGACTGTACTTACCCTTATTAAATTACACTGATTGACAGCAAAGCTTACACCAAGCATGCATAACAGGAGGTTTCCACTAGTAGGTGAGCTTTTTCCTGGTCCATATCTCAACTCTGCTATGCTAAGGAGTAATGGGCAGACCTGAAGGAAACATTTGAATTATCTAACATGGTACTGGCGGTTAGAGGCAATAGAATACAAGTTAATACTTTAATTTTTTCGATGGACACAGCGTTCTCTTGAGTTCTTTAGGATCTGCATCTATGTTAAATCAACTTGAGAAACTAGATTGCAGACCAGCTAGACTCGCCTTAACAATAATAATTTCCTACGACAAAGATCACCGCCATTTGACAGAACCACAGGACTCTGAATTTGGCTTCTAAAGCTGGCCATGCACTGTAATAATTGGCTGCCCGGTCTGTACATTTGAAGATTTCCCAGACAAGTTCCTTTCGATCAGCTGATAAAGGGATGCTGGCCGAAAGGGTGCCAACAGTGGCATCCACTGTGCGAATTTCTTGATGAACCAGATGAAATTCGTAGTGTATGGCCAACTTGCGGCTGAACTTCTGGCATTGGTATGGATGTTGATCAGTGCTGTGTTGGGAATACAGAGAAAGCTCTGTCATTGATTGTTCGTACCTTTTGGCTAAGATTCAACTACATAAAACATGAATATTGTCAGGCTCAAAACATTATGTATGCTTTGCATTAAATATGATCTGGATTAACTAAACGATTTTCATTTTTCCCCAGTCATCTTCCAGGACAGCCATCGAGATATAGGCTCCGCCTGCCTGCAACAGGAAACACATCAACCACATGAAATAAATAGACTCCTCCTTCCATCCCAAGTCAGTTTTTTTGTGTTTCCGCCGGCTACACAGGGACATCGTAATGTTTGTTATTTTTAGGGCTCATGTTTGTTTGCCTTTGGGCTGAGCCTTACCCTGCTAGGCATTGGGACCTACTCCAGGCTTACCTGCTGCAGTGCCTACAGGGATTCCCTATCGGACCCCCACCCGATTTCTGGCCAAGGTTCCCTTCCATCACTCAGGGAAGGCAACCATCCTCCTGCACGTGAGTAGGCACCAGATGGTGGCCCCCCCTGGTGTACAGCAGTGGCAAGGTGTAATAACCTGGAGTGTGCTTGTGTCCTATTGTGGACAACTGTCTGGTGACAACAGGGGCAGCAGGAAGAGGTGTACGGGGAGGCCTCAGACTAAACGTAGATTTCTGCTGATGTATATTTTTACACACTGATTTTGCTGGCTGTCCTGGAATTATAGTATAAAGACTGAAGGTTATGCATAGTTATTCACCTGGTATCGTATATAAGGTGCAGTCCTGTGAATGATGCAGCTGCTCACAGGGGTAAGTCAACAACATCTTCAATACACCTCTATATACCACACTGCTTGTACTCCTATATTACATGCAGTTTCATGTGCTAGTCTCCTGTGAACATGTAAGTACAGTTCAGGCCTGGTTTTGAGAGACTATTCACAGTAGTACATTGCAGTAATGCATGTTACCACAAGACAAAGTACAGGTGCGCTGCATTGGGAAAATAGTGCGTCTGTGAAAACATGCAGTAATGCACTACAAAGCATGAGAAAAATATGAATGGGTCCTGAAGGTATGAGGGCCAGTGTCAACAGGCTTTTGTTCATTCACTACTGCTTCTCTTCCCATACATGTCTATGGAAATGCATTGGTGGTGACAAACTAGTGACAAGAATGATGTTAGTGTCTGTGTTTTAATCTGAAGCATCAAAGATAGACAGCAGGAAACTGTAGTATACCAGGTTCTTAGCCATTTTTGTCTTGTGCGCTTTATTAAAAGATGCAATGTGATGGGACTCCATTAACAAGGTTTTCTGGCCATACTGAGGATGGTCATTTTTCTCTTCCATATTTTTTGGAAACACTAAAAGCTCTATTGGGATCTGCGTATCCTCAATTAGCTGTTTAAGCCTAAGAGGATTTAAACCAGGTTATAATACCTTCTATGAATGCAGTAGTACTATCCCTGGTCTGGTAAATGCAGAGCTGGTCTAGGTCACTAACTCCAGTTATTACTACTCTTGCATGTGTTTAAATAAAAGATGTGATGTTTTATTATATATTTTTAATGTCTGTTAATAGTAAGTCCTATTAGTTTATTCTTTCCTACTTGCCTATTTAGATCATTTTCTGTCCATTTAGATCTATAGGTTTATTTCCTTTTTTGATCCATTGTACATGCTTGGATAGTATTTTTTCTGTTTATAAATACTATACAGTATGCGCTGTATACACCAAATAAATTGTATACTTGATTCAATCAGTCTTTTTGCCTGTATTAGTGACAGGCAATTTAGAATGTGCTTTTTATTAGCCATACTGTACTAGGTATCCCTTATAGTGACTCTAAACTCAAGAGTCAAATCTTAAAAATGCAAATAGATTACAATTTCAATACACATTAGTAAACTAAACATGAGATTGTAGTCCATTACAGGAGCAAGCTTGGAGTGGTGGCTACTTTATAACATACACAGGGGCCATGGAGAACAAAAGTAGCCACCCACCAGGAGGAAGGACAGTGTCAGCATGAAGTCAGAGATGATTTGAGGACCTACAGCTGAGTCATACACAAATAAGGTCCAGTTTTCTTAATA